TGCAGAAACAAAGGAGGCCATTGACATATTGGGAAGATCATGGTTCGACACGCTAACCTCAACCCCAGGCCGAGTAGTTGGCGTACGGGCCACAGTTGGCCGTGGTTTGTCCTCGGGCTTTTCCTGGGTTTCGATTGCTTTCTTGACTTTTGAGCTTTCGGGGGTGTGAGAGAATAATGTCACTAACATGGGGGGGGGGGGGGGGCGTTTCGGTTTTCTGGACAGGTTTGGTCAAAGGAAATATTCTTTTTAAATCCCATGAACATGTGCAATTCATATGTGCAGAACTCCATAAACTTGTTTGAATTCATGATTACATAGTTCCAAGCAAGCGAGAAAAATGTGAGCAGATATTTGTTCATGAAGTGCTAGGTTTTTTCATAAAACCTTCCAACAGGCTATCAGAAGGCAGGTGTCTTGGCGTGTATTCTCAAGCTTCCCAAAAGCCTCCCAACACATGCTCCGACGTGTAGGGGACTCTATCATCCCGAATTCACTATGAGGATTCTTGTTTTCAAATGACATGACTGGGATAGGAGACGATGTAATCCTTGATTTCAGGCAGGGGTACGTGAGCATGTGTCGCACCTGACGGTGTGAACTCCTTTGTACGCTTTCCTGCAGGGAGGAGGAGGAGGAGGATAGGCGGACAGAAAGCAAAACCAACTCAACTCTCACCAAATGGCAGTGCATTTAGTTCTCGGAATGAAATGTCGGTGTCTCTTCCGGATATGCATGCACGTTCAAGGCCTCAAACTCATTTGAGTTGTGTTCTGCTCTTATGCTAGGAATAAAAATCATGGCATGTAAAAGCTCTGGTGAACCAGAATCGCACACTGAGATACTGGGAGCAGTCTTGTATCGTGTTTGAGGGAATCCACTTACGGATGCTTACCAGAAAGCCACTCGCATCTGTCCATTTTCAACTATAAAGAACCGCATAAAAGCATAGCTGTACTGGGGCCTGCTCTCCCTGAGATAATATACAGCCTGTCCTGCTGGGAGCAGAGGCCCCTTACAGGCCCCTGGGAGGATTTGGGCCCTTTGCCCAACGCCTCCAATCGGGCATGAGACCTCGCAGGAATCGAGCCCTAAACCCGAAAATCCCCGAGGCCTACATCAACCCCAAGAAGCCCAAGCTCCAGAAAGCCCGGCTCCCGCCCCAAACTCAGGTAAACGTGCTCCAGACGGCCGTGCACGTGGCGCAAGCCAGAGGCGAGGATCACGCCATCATGGCCTTGTCCAAGGACTCACGAAGCAAGCACATGTGAATGTTTGGGACCACATGAACCCTAAAAGGCCGTACGGTTCATAGGCCATATATCTAATGAAGTCGGATTTCTAGTAGTACAGGGAAAATGACCCCAATTTGGCTCAACTGGTCCCCAGGGATACTAGTTTCTGGTCACTCAGACAACATTTACCAGGTTTAGGGGCTTGCGGATTCGGAAGTTGAGACTACTCAAATCGGGGGTTTCCAATACCTTATTGTCCTTCTCACAACGGAATCTATTACTTGATATGATTTGGGTGTTTATATTAGGGGGCCCCTCATGTTTGTAAACCCCAATTGGGTTTTAGTAAACCCTAAACCCTAAACCCTAAACCCTAAACCCTAAACTGACAGTGATTGTCGAAGCTCGAGCTTCTGGCTTTGGATTCACCCAGCGATGGCTGAGACTTCAGAGTTGGTAGTCGGAAGGTTTAGGGTTTAGGGGTTTAGGGGTTTAGGGGTTTAGGGGTTTAGGGGTTTAGGGGTTTAGGGGATAAGGGGTTTAGGGTTTAGGGTTTAGGGTTTAGGGTTTAGGGTTTAGTTGCCGCAGAAGATGCCACAAGCATGAGAGGACAACCTGCGTATGAACCACTACTTGGACTTGGGCAGCAACAGGCGGACGGGAGAAATTTCTGGACACTTCGAAGAATGTCTAGTCTGCGTTGAGGCCTTCAAGTCGCATTCGTATTCCATCTTTAGGGTTTAGGGTTTCGGGTCTAAAGGAATTCTTGCCATGATGTGATTTATGTATGTATATAGGCTGTCTAGGAGTTAGAGCGGGGATGATGTTGGTCGCCTCTATCACAGCTCCATAAACCGCCACGCATGCGTGCAGAGCAACCCCCTAAACCCTAAACCCTAAACCCTAAACCCTAAACCCTAGCCCCTCCCCCACCCCCTCCAGCTTCGCTTCTTTTTGAGTCGGGATGGTTGGCTAGTCGGGCAGTGTTCTCGGCTTCAGGCAGGGCGTGCGAAGGACCCCCCCAGCGACGTAGTCCTGAGTTTGTCTTGAGACTTCCGCAGAGCTGCTTGCAGGCTACTGCGAAAGTAGCGAAATCCTAAAGTTTAAACCCTAAACCCTAAACCCTCTTCATCCCTACTGAATGGGCATCCGAAATCTTATGCTCCCTTGGCTCCCAGGTACGGTACTTGCCTTGCTCGTGTTCCCCCGCTAGCTCCCCAGCCCAGGGCTGCATCATAGGGGCCTATCATACTTAGAACAGGATTTAGGTTTAGGGTAGTTTAGGGTTTAGGGTTTAGGGTTTAGGGTTCTTCTTGGGGTTTATCTTCTTAGGGACCATATAAGGGAATACGATGAGCAATTCTTCCGACCCCAAGAGTACATTTTTGGGGAGGGGAGAAGGGGGTTAATTGTAGTATGTAGCCTTTTAGGGATCAGACGACACTACCATGAGCAAGTCTTCCGATCCCCACAGGTCCCGCTGTTTGGAGGAGCTGGGTGGCTGCCATGTGCTGGATGAGTCGCTGATCTGGGCAGAGGAGTTTTATTGATCCGTAAACCCTAAACCCTAAACCCTAAACAATAGCGCCCTTTACCAGGATGGGCGATTCGGCCTTATAATTTGGGATGTTCCCCGTATACTAACAGTTAATGGATACAAAAGCACCCCCTATGATTATCCCTATGAAGGGGGAACATCCCAACCAGTAATTTTGGGTATACTAGCCCATCCTTGAAACTGCTGAAGCTCTCAGAGACAGGGTGAATTCGGAGTGATGGATTCGAGCTTAGGATTCGGAGCCGGCTAACCTTGTGCACTAATTAGGGAAGAGCTCCTGGTTCAACATGTATAGTTTGGGATGTTCCCCCTTATATAAACAGGCCTTAATACGGAGTATATATTGAGGAGCTGTTAGTTTAAGGAGGAACATCCCAATGTGTAGTTACATAGCTGGATGGATCTTGGGTTTCGGCATGGGCCGCCTCTGGGGCCCTTTTTGTCACCTCAACCACCTTCTCCACACTCGGGCTCCACAGCGTGTTTCTGCGCTTGTGGCCCCCTAACTATAGATGCGCACTTCTATGCCCTGTTAAGACGCTGTGAAGTCCCTACATCAGGGCCTGGAGCTTCCGCGAGAGACCCTGCAGGAGCTGGTGTTACGGCTGCGCACGCCGGAATGAGTGGCGCGAGAACAGCTGGTTGGAGGTGGACGTCGGGAGGCTGAGTTCCGAAGAAGGCGACATGGCAGTTGAGCCTACCTGTGTGAGGTTAGGAAGTTGGGTTGTAGGGAGGCTTCCTGTCGAAGATCCCTCGTTCAAAGGTTCGCAGTTCAGGGGAGGGTGAGCAATGGACTTTTGGCTTCCCCCAAAAAGCAGCCTCATAGCTTGGGTACCGAACGTTAAAGCTACAATTTACAAAAACAAACCTCAAAACAGCATTATTCCTCCATACACGGGTAAATTCACAGAAGACTATCTTGCATCTTTTTTGATGGGGTTCTTAAGCAAATAGTAGAAAAATGGGGAACTTGACTTAGAGGAGAGCCCCCTGCGAGGTCCGGTCGCCGGCTTCTCCAAGACCTGCGATGCTCGAGACGACGGACGCGTGAGATGCTCCCCTCCGCTCGCGAGTCCGGCCTTAAGCGTCTACGGGACTTCTGGTTTAGGGCTGCAAGATGTATGTACATGTAAATGCTACCAAATAAGGTAAGTCTGTTCATAATATATATATATATATATACACATATGTATATATATATATATACATGCACAGTCATTCGTAGTCTATGAGTACTGTTTGTTATCGCATGCTACTCGGTCACACAACAGGACGCAAGAGGGTTTCAACAAGCCAGTGGAAGTTAAAGGAAGTCATCCAAGACACCCAAAGGTGCAGGGCTCAGGGTTTAGGGCTTAATTAGGGCTTATAGGCTTTAGGGTTTAGGGTTTAGGGTTTAGTGTTTAGAGTTTGGTTAAAGCTTGCACCTTGAATGTACTGAGCGTTGCATCTCTGCCCCAGGACTATCAAGTTCGTAAGTATCCAGGTGTACTTTAACAGCCCGGACCGTCCTTTCATCCTCGTGGGGAAAGGGTGGGGTGTGCAAGACATCCAAGCGGCCGGCCCTGGCAGCAGCCATGCGCAACCTGCGCCGCAGCTCGCAAAGATCTAGATGTCGAGCGTGGAGAGAGACAGTATCATCATACATAATAGTCCGTATGCTGGCATAGATTCATACTTCTTTGCCTCTACTTGAAAATGAGATGTACTATTTTCGTACATGTTGCTTCCAAGTTACCCAAAAATCGACATGGGAGGGTGTGGGCTCTTGCGGCGGAGCCCGAGCCCCCCCGGGATGCGTGAGAGTGCGGACGCAAAAGCGTGCCAAAGTTCAGGTACTTGGGGGCGGTTAAGGATGTTAAGGCCAGGTGATATGTCTGCTATGTGTGGGAAGAGAAATGGTATATAAGCAACTTTGCACTCGGACTGCAGGCGTCTTCAGACGATCCGCGTCGTTCTGGTTCCCGTGAGCCCATCCTCAAACCCACCCGCTGCCCGCGCCCCCCCCAAATGGGTTTCGGGTGAAGACTTCAGGTTGGAATGTGCCCATCTGTTCGGTCTAAGGCCCCTTGTATGTTCATTGTCATATGATGGGTTTAGGGTTTGGGGTTTAGGGTTTAGGGGTTTAGGGGTTCGATGCGGCGTCTTTCGGTTGGAGCTTAGCCAAGGAACACATGTCCCGCCCGCGTCACGATAAAGCCGCCCAGGCCTTACTGAGGCGTGAGCATCGAGGTGGGAACATGTAGTCTTGGCAGGAGAGGCTTAAGATAGGGGCCTTAAGTTAATAATTATAGGATACCCAAAGCAGATCCGAGACCCGCATCACCCCAAAAGGTGCCTGGCAAAGGTCGGAATAAATACTAATGGTATCTCCCTTATGGTTCCTGCATACTTAAACTAGCATAGCCCCCAAAACCATGTTCGAACTATAAAGGCCCCTAGAATGCCCCTATAGTAGGCTTGGCAGGAGAGGCTTATTTGGATTCGGCTTGATTCTCTTTGTGCCGAGATATGGGCTGCCACTTCAACTGAAAGCATCAACACCCGATGCCATACACTGCTACACGTTGAGAGCGAGGCACCGTCGGCGACGACGACGGCAACGGAAAGTGGTGGGCCTAGTCGCTCCATACACTCTTGGAATATACACAGGCATTTCTGCTTCTGCGAGAGGGCTGCTGCAGGTAAAGTGCCACGTCAAGTGTACGGGTTGTTGGTGTGTACGCTCTAGAAAATGGGCTGACGCTGGGAAGCATTCGCAACATGTGTTTGAAAGTGGCAAGACATGAGCTCACAATGTCCCAGTCAAGATTGGTCATGGCCACCGATGGTTGAAGCCGAGCAAGCGACACACCGCAACCATGCAAAATGAATCTTCCTATACGCTTTCATTTCATATGCGCAATTTTCCGGAGCAGGTAATATTTCAATTATCGAGTTTAGGCAAAGTAAATCGAAAAGCCATAGGATATACGAGTTCAATATAGACAATATATTTTATCATTTTCTTTGTTTGAATTATATTGCGTCATCGAAACATGAAATATATTTGTCATTCCCTTGTCTTCGACATGGTCACTTTTCAAATTTCGGGATTCATGGGGCTAGGTATGATCCGGATCCGAGAAAATATGAGTTATGCCGTTATGCCTGTAAGAAACCCATCATGTCGAGCTGCGGTTGCAGTTCAAGCAGTGAGAAGCTTTGGGAACTCACGATAGGGCAAGCTTGGGTGTTTGTTCCTTTCCCACCACCGCTTGAACCCCAAAGAGAAGTCGAGAAGCCGAGGAAAGCGTAATTCAGCACCGAGAGTTGGGATGTTGCCCTCAAACTATCAATCCTGATTAAGTGTTATACCACCCCCCCCCCCCCCCCCCCCCCCCGCGCCCTCCTATTATAATCCCTATTAAGGACTGTTAGTATACGGGGGAACATGCCAAACTAAGAGCCTAACAAGTCCGGAAGCGGTGAAAAACCGAAGCCCACAGGTCTCTTCCATGGAGCCGCGAAGACTTAGCCGACGCGGCTGGCGAAGCTCGTGCAATGGTGGCCGGGACCCGCCGTAGCCACACACCCCTTCCTCTTAGCGATACTTGGGAATAGTTTGTAAATTTTGGCAACTATAATTCCTAGGAACAGATAACATCATGATTTTTGCTAGGGTTTCAAGTTCAGTATAGCCCGAACAACCCCCCAAACACCGACTTGGGTTTATGGTCCCAGCCGCGCATGGTCAGGGGCGGGATTCCGGCTACGGTACCTAGGTTTCGGGTTTAGGGTTTCGGGTTTAGGGTTTCTTGTCGTTGCCGTTGCTGTCACGATTGTTCTTTTCTTGGCTGTCTACCATGGCGATGAGGATGATGATGAGACGATTCCTACTACTGTCTATCGATGATACTACTACTTATTCATTGCTGCTAGTACTTCTACACGACAAGTAGCACTATTTTTTTGTGGACGAGCTGATGCGTGTAGCGTGTATGACAGATGCCTAACGCTGGTACTGTGGTGTGCTTAGGCCCCCCTTGGCCTCTTAAGCCCTTGAACACCACCTAAAGCGCTGAAAACCTAAATCCTGGACCCTAAGCTTTGTCATGCCGGACAGAACCTAAACTTGTACGAACCCTTAAACCCTAACCCCTGGACAGAGACTCCCCAACAAGGACTTTGAACCTGCCTGGTTTGTCCGAGTGTGAGCGATTGAACCCTAAACCCTAAACCCTAAACCCTAAACCCTCAGGTAAGCGAAATTCCATATGGCGCCGACTTCGGCTTGGACCCCTCGCAGGAGCGCAGTTTAGGAACTGGGGTGTGTTGGGGTTTATGGCAACAGGGGCCCGGTGTCTTCTCTTTCCGAAGGTTGGCCCTGGCTTGTTTCTTTAAGCCATGCAAGCTTGCTTTGCAGTTAGAATGTCTGCTGTCAGTGGACATTCCTTGAAACCGCAAATGGGTGCTTTCCAAACCCATCATACGATTGCAAACGGGGGATGGGGGGGTGGCGCCCCCCGAGGAGGAAAACAGGGAGGTGAACAAACCCCACCCTGTCCAAACCATCATACGAGCAGTTTGCGTAGAGATGGCGCACGCGAACAAGTGCTATTCACGATGCATGTGTGCATAGGCCCAAACAGATGTTGTTGTGACTTCCAGATACTTGGAGCTCAAACAGACATGCTGTACTCTACAGCGTTTGGACGGAAATGCCGAGGTTCACAACATTTGAACCGAGAAATGCTGTAATTCACAGCGGTCGGAGCCCTAGAATAGGCCCTGGGGCATGCCGAAATGCTGTATTTCTCAGCATTGACAGCCTGCGAACAGCAGAAATGGTGTTTTTTTTCAGCATTGAGAGCCTGCGAACCGCAGAAATGGCGTTTTTTTTCAGCATGTAGAGCCTTCGAACAGGCAGAAAAAGCTGCATTTCAGCGCCTTGAGAGCCAGGAAGGCCTTTCGGAAAGAAACGAAACACCTCCGCCGGCTCTGTAGCGTTTAGGGTATTCGAAGTTTAGGAGATGCTGAGTAGCTGAGTAGCTGAGTAGCTGAGTAGTAGTAGTAGAAGTAGTAGTAGTAGTAGTAGTAGTAGTAGAAGAAATAGTAGTAATAGTAGTAGTAGTAGTAGTAGTAGTAGTAGTAGGAGTAGGAGTAGGAGTAGTAGTAGTCGTAGTCGTAGTCGTAGTCGTCGTCGTCGTCGTCGTCGTCGTAGTAGTAGTAGTAGTAGTAGTAGTAGTAGTAGTAGTAGTAGTAGTAGTAGTAGTAGTAGTAGTGGTAGTAGTAGTAGTAGTAGTAGTAGGTGTAGTAGTAGTAGTAGTAGTAGTAGTAGTAGTAGTAGTAGTAGTAGTAGTAGTAGTAGTAGTAGTACTAGTACTAGTACTAGTACTAGTACTAGTACTAGTACTAGTACTAGTACTAGTACTAGTACTAGTACTAGTACTAGGCAACCTTTGTAGCCTTTTGCAATATGTACAATCCTACCCTAGTTGAGAGGTTAACCCTTTTTAGGTATGGCAGAAGCGTGCAGCTCTGTCGTGGGCCTTGACAGCAGCATGGGTGGTGTGCCCGGCCGTGCGTGCGCAGGTCAGCTCCGCAGGCGGCCCAAAAAAGCCCAACAAACACATAAGCCTTAAGCTCCAGGGGGCCGGGGGCTTATACCCATCGCCCCTACAATGCCCCAAAAGCCCAACACCCTCTCTGCGAGCCTCGAGTCCAGGAGACCCCGACGACGCTGCGAGACTTCCTCCAGGTAACTTAGGGCCTGGGTAGTTCTTGAACGTTTTTGGTTATATATGTGTGTGTATATATGTAGAAATATATATATATATATATATTTATATTTATGTTTTATATATTTTCTATTTTTTATGTTTAATATTTATATTTATACTTATACGTATGTATACATATATACATATTATAATATATATATATATATATATATTATCCCATTGCAACTAAATGGTGCACCTTTTTTTGGACTAGCGTATTGAGCCCCGAAGGCAACACCTCAACCACCGGCGAAGCGGCAGCGCTGCCGCGAGCAACAGGCACGGCGTTTTCGCTTGAGGGATTTGGGTTTAGGGTTTAGGGTTAGGGTTTAGGGTTTAGGGTTTAGGGCTTAGGGTTTAGGGTTTAGGGTTTAAGGTTTAAAATCTAGAGTTTAAGGTTTAAAACTTAGAATTTAAAGTTTACAGCTCAGGATTTCAGGGCTTCGGCAGGAAATCGGCGGTTAGTTGTGTCTTCTTTCTCTATCAATGATGAAGCATCTAGAGAGAAGGAGTTTCGTTCAAGATAGGTGGCATAAGGATGTTGAAAATGTTGGCCCTCAAAACCCTGGCGGCTTGCCATCTTGACTTGAGTCCTTCAACATCTCCGTTTCAGAGTGGAAGAACATCAAATACCCCCAAAAAGTCCATCTTGAGGGCGTGAAATTTTAGGGCTTTCGGGATACAAGACTTCCTGATTTGAGACATCTCTTAGATGGTATTGCTTGGGCGCTTGCGTAGGCCATCCTATCTTTCCTGTGGCATCCCTTTCCCGTGGCATCCTTACCCGCATAGTACGAAGAGTCTGTAAGCCTTGGGCCCCAAACGCTAAGCCTTAGCACCCTAAACCCTCTCAACCCTAGCCCGAAATCCTTACAGCGGTTGCTGGGATTTTCGAGCTTCTGTGAGAAGACTGAAGCTCGAGGACGCCTAATTTGGGTTTTTACAGGATCCTACTAGAAATAAAAGGCAAACCTTTTTGGGCTCGGGTACTCAGCCCCTTACTTAAGATTTGCTGGGCCCCTTACTCAAATTTTGCTTTCCCCAAGTCAGGGGCCTGATTCTAACCGGGTTTAGGGTTTAGGGTTTTAGGGTTTAGGGTTTAGGGTTTAGGGTTTAGGGTTTAGGGTTTAGGGTTTAGGGTATTCTAACCCTTCTTGTAACCTAGGTAGGCCCTACGGATATTGTGATATTTCCCCTTTTGTTGGGGTTCAAGAAATCCATCTTCAGGATGTCTTTTCAGGGCTTTAAGGGCCATCCTAGCCCTGCTCGGGTTTAGGGTTTAGGATTTATAAGGGTTTAGGGTTTTAGGTTTTAGGGTTTAGGGTTTAGGGTTTAGGGTTGCCTCTTTCGGCGTGAGTGGACTCTAGACGCTATGTGAATCATGGGCCTGGAAGGCAGACCGGGCCTACAGACCATACTTCTTTGTGGCTGTGGACAAGGATGCCGCTTGGGATGAGGGTTCTGGAGTGTGTGCTGGAATCCATGCAGCGCCCCAAGCCTTCAACCTCCCAGTACCCTGGCCCTGGGCCACATAGGGTTTCCCCGAAGCCCTAAAGCCCTAAAGCCCTAAAGCCCTAAAGCCCTAAAGCCCTAAAGCCCTAAAGCCCTAAACCCTAAACCCTTGCTAAACCCTAAACCCTAACCCCTAAACCCCTAAACCCTAAACCCAAACAACTCCACCCGAACACTCCACCCGTTTCGGGTTTGGGGTCACGAGTGAAGTCACCGGCAGGAGCTTCAGCCGCAGCTTGCCAGGCTGCTTGAGGCCAAGCTGGGCGTGGCAGCAGCTTGGTTATAGAATTTGGGGGTATCCGAAATAGATGCCATGGCTCCGAGATGGGGGTTGGGGTTTAGGGTTTAGGGTTTAGGGTTTAGGGCTACCTTATTGTGGAAGGCCCTTCTTTATTTTTCTAAGGGTTGGGGTTGCCTTATAATCCCCTTAAAACCCAAAAAGGGCACCCTTGTTATTCCTAGGTTCCTCCCGGGTAAATCCGCTGACTCTGTGCAACCCAAGCCCCGGACCAAGCAAGGTCGGAGGCAGAGTCTCCTGGCCCTTCGGCGAGGTCCCTCGGCAAAGTTATCGGAACCTCAAACGGGCTTAGGGTTCAGGGTTTTAGGGTTTTAGGGTTTTAGGGTTTAGGGTTTCGGGTTTAGGGTTTAGGGTTTAAGGTCTAACCAGGGATGATCAGAATCCTAAGTTGCAGACCCAAGGCATGCCTTGCTTGAACGCCAGAAGTCAAGAAAAGTTGACGCCTTCGCGCTTTGTGCAGCTCCGCAAGGTACACGGCACCTTGGGGTTGCGCAGCGCTTTTTTGTTGCCGAATCCTTGCCGTTTGGGTTCTTTGGCGGCCCAGCTCCCCCAGCCTTGAAGACAAAGCCCCAGAACCTTTCTGCGGCAAAAAACGGTCAGGGTCGCCCCCTTGGAAAAGAGGAACCACCCTAAACCCCAAACATCCCTAAACCCTAAACCCTAAGCCCTAAGCCCTAAACCCTAAACCCTAAACCCTAAACCCTAAATTGAACCAACAAGAAGTAGATCTCAAGGTCCAGCCCGCCCAGAGCCTGCCCTTCACGGCCACGACGATTCAGTTTGCCGTTGGAGGTGAGGGGAGCGGCTCGCCCATGCACTTTCACCAGGATGCTCGGCCGAGGTGTTAGGGTTTAGGTTTAGGGTTTAGGGTTTAGGGTTTAGGGTTTAGCTGAGGTGGAGTCTGCAGGGCTCTGGCGTGGAGGTTTAGGGTTTAGGGTTTAGGGTTGAGGGTTTAAGGATATTAGGGTTTAGGGTTTAAGGTCTCGGGGTTTCACCTAGGGATTCAGAGAACCCGAAGTCCTAAACCAGTTCTCAAAGGCCCGACGCCTGCTGTAATGGAAGCAGCCTCTCCACATGGTGGTTTTCAAAAATAAGGGGTACCCTTTTTGGGATCCCTTTAAGGGGACTCTATTCTGTGTGGTATAAAGGGGGTACCCCTATTTTCGGAAATACCCACACGCCCCCGCTGATGGCATCCAAGGATGCGCTGAACCTCTGCCTCCGCGGCCGGAAGCGCTGGTGGCTGGTTCCACCCAGCGAGGCCGGGTTGGGTCTCGGGTTTCTATAAGGGCCCCCCCGAATTTGGTACGGACATTTCCCAAAATAGGGGCACCCCTTTGATACCCCAAATAGGCCTTAAAAAGGGTACCCCAAAATAGAATGGAACCACCCCCCCCCCCCCCCCCCCCCCCCCCAAAAAAAAAAAAAGAAAAGCATAACCCTCTTGTCGGAAACCCCCAAATACGTCGCCCCCCCCATACGTCGCCCTCGAGCTTGCGTGTAGTCCTTGTGACTTCAAGAGAGGCCGGATGCCCAGGTGCTTGGAGGTTCAGGGTACTTAGTAACCCAATTTATGACTGCACTTAGCACCCAACTATAGCCTTATTGAGTATTATTAGGGTACTTACGGGGCTTATCTGTGGGTTATATACACTTATAATGGGCTAAACCCTAAACCCTAAACCCTAAACCCTACTAGGTACCCTGAACCTCCAAGTCGGGTCCCGAACCCCAAAGGTGTGTTGTAAGCTAAGGCGGCATTCTCGAGGCTCCACCCCCTGGATGCTCTGGACATGGGAACCTGGGCCTTGAAGTAGGGTTTAGGGTTTAGGGTGTATAGGGTTTAGGGTGTGTAGGGTTTAGGGTTTATAGGGTTTGGGGTTTATAGGGTTTAGGGTTTATAGGGTTTAGGGTTTATAGGGTTTAGGGTTTAGGGTTTAGGCTTACAGCAGCCAGGCGCTGACAGAAAGCCCGTTGCAAGAAGGGTTTAGGGTTGATAGGGTGTTCAGGGGCTTTGTAGGGTTTATAGAGGCTAAGAGTTCAAGAAGGCGTAGTTGAGCTTACTCTGCTGGACAAGGCTTTAGTGTTTGCCCTTCCTGAGTCGTAAGGAACGTCAGCCAACTCAGCCAGAGACTGCCTGGAGGCGCGGGCATCGGAAGCACCCGAAAGCCCCACTAAACCCTAAACCCTAAACCCTAAACCGAGAAGCCCACATTCAACTCGACACAGCGCTGCCTTGCACCCGCATCCCTGGCTGGAGGGCGCCTGTGTCTTTGAGCAAGAGGAGGGCGACGTCGTCTACGTTCCTGACATGTGGGGTCATGCGGTGCTGAACTTGGAGGACCACACTGCCTGCGTTGCAGCTGAATTCGCCTAGGGCCAGGCACCTTGCGGACAGAGGTCACAAAGGGAGCTTGGCGTCCCTCTGCAAGCCTTTGGGGCAGCTGCCGCATCTTCGGCATGGAGCAGGTCATCCGGCTTCATGAAGATGTGGGGGGTGCAGCTCCACTCAAGCTCTACCATTCTCGTGCCGATCCAGCCGAAGGTGGTCGGCATGTACTTGGTGAAGGCCCACCTCTGAAGACCTAAGCGCGAAGTAGCACGCTAGCTTCGCCTGCGGGAGAAAGAATGGAGGGCTCATGCCTTGTGGAGCGACCTCTCTGTGACTTGGAGGCTATTCTGGTTAGGTTCAAGCGTGGGATGATGTGCCGAGTCACCGTATCCTTGGACCTGCACTTGGGCATCAGGAGTGGACTATACGAATGCATACCGCAGCTGGCTTTTGCTTGGAAGCTGGTTTTCGCTTGTGGGCATTTTCCGAACTCCCTAGACCTCCTCAGCCCTAACAGCTAGCAGCTTACGTCTGCCACCTCTTAGACACGAGCTTCAGACCCACCTGCACACCCAAGCCCGAACTCAACACAAACCCACACCTCTTGCCCGTATAGCCACGTATCATTTCTTGCGTGGGGCGCGCCGCCCCTGTCGCCGTGAGGTCTGGGTTCTTGCGCTGACTGCTTGTGTCGTGTTGCGTGGCAGTGTCTAGCTCCAAGCCCTAATCACGCGAGCAGAGACTGTAGGGGAGTAGATTTGTTCTTGGTACTCGTGCTTGTTAGTGATGTATATATATATATCCTGTCAGAAAAGGGTCGGTTCCGTGCGGCCGTGCGGCGGAAGCCCTCTCCCTCTACGGCCCAAGAAAGTTCCTAGCACAAGTTTCAGTATATAGGCTTGCAAGCTAGTCAGAAACTAGCGTTTATAAGGTAATGGTTGAAGAAGGCCCTGGACAAAAGGGTATGAAACAAAGGCTTGTAACAGAGGGAGGGCCGAGCCCTGCGACAAAGGGGGTGTTGACTCACCGCCTTTTCTAATTCTTATAAAAATGTGTACATATATGCACTTGTGTAATCAACACAATATGAGATATACGCCCTGCCCATGAAGTCACGCACGAGCAAGGCTGATGCCTTTTAGGTGCGGGAGCGTCGCTCTCGTCACGTTGAGGGACTGGAACCCTAAACCCTAAACTTTAGAAACCCTAAACCCTAAACCCTAAACCCTAAACCCTAAACCCTAAACCCTAAACCTGCAGAGGATGCTCATTGAGCTGATCAACGACTCCGATCTCACCTTCCAGCTGGATGGTGAGTGGCTTAAAGCCGGGGAGTTCAAATCCGACCCTTGGCAGACATTGAAATCCGACAATCCCAATCCTTAAGGATCCCCCCCCCCCCCCCCCCCCGGCCAAAAACAAAGGAACATACAGAAGCTCTGCCTCTAGGCTACCTCCTGCCTAGGGCCTAGGACCCTAAGCAAATAGTAGTAAAAGCTCATCCTTCGCCCGGAGTCAGATGTCTAGTATATAATATAGGGGTCGGAACAATTACAACTATCCTTCCCTTATGGTCCCTTTATAATTATTCTAGAATATCCAGCACAACCCTGTTCTAGTTAGTAAGGCTCCTACAGTAGCTTTTTGTTGGAGTGCTGTATAGCTACAACTCTGGACTTCCTCTTGGAGCAGCTAGGGTGTAGGGTTTAGGGTCTAGGGTCCGCGGCAGAGCTCGCGGGGTCAAAAGGGTTGCAGTAGAACTGGCAAACTCTGCTTTGCTCTGCTGAAGCTCGGGCCACGAAACAACACCTGCTGCTCACAGACCCGGGGTTGGTCTTCCGATAGTCTTCGGGCTCATGGCACGATGTAGGGATACTAATAGGGGTACTAGAATCCCTATGAAGGACTGTCATAAACCCTAAATCCGAAACCCTAAATGACTCACCCGGGTTGGTCTTCCGATAGTCTTCGGGCTCATGGCACAGCGCCAGCCATTCAAACTCGGAATGGCGGCACGGTTTGAAGGGTTTAGGCTTATCAATTGGGATGTCCTTATGGGATTTGCTAATAGGGGTACGAGAATCCCTATGAAGGACTGTCAGGATAAATCCGATTTTGTTGGATTTGACTGACGGTGCCAGGCAGTTGGCTTCCAGTGTTTTTTTTGCTTCGGAGGGATTTGTGCTTACAAGGATGGGCTATTAGGCCCTTTAACCCCCATAAACAGCCCTAGAAGGCCCTCTAAACCCTAGACCCGACCTTTCTCAAGACACATGACACGGACCGTTTTGCATCCCTGCAGTGTGGTTGCGAGGCTGCTAGGCAGGTGGCAAAAACCACCCTAAGCCCATCTAAACCCTAAACCCTAAACACACATCCTGGTTCAGTAGAGTTCCATGGTGCGATCGTTCGAGCGCCGCCCCAGGAAAAATCGACAGCGATTGCCCCGAAGACAACAACCACCGTGGAGATCACGCCCTCCACGGCCCCTTCGGTCAGATGAGTGGTAAAGTACTGTTTGCTTAAGAACCCCGAAAAATAAGAAACAATACTCCATTTTTTCTTATCAGGAAGAATGTTTGTTGTTTTCTGTTGGGGGGGGGGGGTTCTTAAGCAATTCGTAGTAAAGGGTTTGCGAAAGCAGCCTCAAATACTCAGTTGAGTGGGGCATCCGGCTTCGCCCTCGGGCCCCAATAGCAGGAGCTCCCTGCGTGAGCTCACAAACATTTGGTTTTAGGGTTTAAGGTTTAGGTTTTAGGGTTGAAGTTGAGGTTAACGACAGGTTACAGAGCAATGTTGACTGGCTAGTTTGTGCTTAGTTTGAAATTAAGTTAAGATTTATGTGCTACATTTTTAACCTTCTGAAGGGATATTGTACCTACCTCATGCTGAAATTCCAGAAAGTTGAGCCCACAGGCAGTCTACGACTTCGCTTGCTGGTTCTTGTTTTTTGGGATAATCAGGTACCGTTCGTACCCGGGAAGACAAAGACTCCCTCTATGCTCCCTTAAACGCTTGAAAAGCAGGATATGAGTTATGCCTGGTTCCCTACTTCCATGCTAAGAACTAGGTTTGGGGAGTGCGCACACTTGAGCCTCGGCTGCCTCACCCCCTGCGGCAGGTGGAAGGCATCTCTGGTGTGGCGTGGTGGGTCGATACCACCGGGCGGAATGTGTACATATCCATGGCCATGACGAGGTGCCAAGGGAGATCCCGGGTGTGTAAGACTTGGTATCTCAGTGGTACCTCTTTCCCTTTTTTTGGCTCCAGGTTCCCTATAAAGGAACCAACCCCAGAAAGGGTGCCCTTATTAGAATGTGGTGACTGGGCTACCAGAAGAGACAAGACACCATGCGGCAGGATTTGTAGCCTTAGGATTAATTTGTGGTGAGGGACTCGGTCCGTCCAGCCGGTCGTGATCACGGGCCCATATGCTCACTATTTGGGGGACCTGAAAACATGGGGAGATGGGGCCGAGGGCAGGGGGTGAAAGGGGAAAGAGACCTTTTTTTTGTGGATGATCATGCATTCTTCAGAACCTGTTCATGTGAGTATTGGGTTCACAATCAAGGAAGTTCCAAAGCCCAGGATGGGCTGTTAGACCCTCTAGCCCTTTAAAAAGGGCCTCGGGCCTCTACAGGTCTGTTTATGGGGGGGTTATGGGGTCCAATAACCCATCCTGGGAGTTGCAAAGCGGATGGCGCTCCATTGTGCGAGGCCCCGCCTCGGGCGGTCGTTCTTCACCTGCCACGCTGGAGCCTGGGAGCTCAGAGGAAGCTAGCCCCGAAGTCGCGTGGAGCCACGAACGCAAGACGCTAAGGCTTCGGAGGGTTTAGGGTTTAGGGATGTTCAGGGGGGTTTAGTGTTTTCGGTTTAGGGTCGTTGGTTGGATTTTGATACAACCCTACAGGGTTTACATAAAAGTTTAGGGGGCTTCCGGGAGCGCAGGGTTGAGGGTTTAGAGAGGTTCAAAGTGCAAATTAAATGGTTCAGGTGCCTGAAACGAAGTTTTATTCCAGAGCAGTTGTCGTTTCGTCCCTGGTTCGAAGTATCTGCTTTTTATGAGCACATGGACCCCAGAAGTTTTGGTGAACCTTCAACCACCAAACCAGTCGCGAAGCTTCTGGCGACTTAGACCTTGAGTCCCTGATCTCCTACCCAGAGCTTTAACAAGCAGGCTTGCCTCCGAATTTTGAGGTGTGGGGGGGGAGGAGGGGAGGAGGAGGAGGGGTGGGTATTCGACTTCGCTAAACCCTGAACCCTAAACCCTAAGCCCTAAACCCTGCACACTAAACCCTAAACCCTAAACATGAGGTCCCGCCTCCAAACCTGAAGACGGCGCTGTCGTCGGCAGCCAAGCTTGAGACATCACAGGAAGCTGAGGGCGGGCCTTGGGGGAGGGGGGGGGGGTGGCTACGGGGCATGTGTATTATGTAATATGTTATGGAAGGATACCGTGATTGTAATTTTGATCAGTGTTATAGTTATTGTTCTAAATAAATAGAAATATATATATATATATATATATATATATGTGTGTGTGTGTGTGTGTGTGTGTGTCTCCTTTTTTTGGGGGTGGCAATTTGCTGATTAACATTTTGCTGTGTCCGACTGTGTAGTACGGCATTCTGCTAGACCACCCCTCCGTAGCACACTCGCAAACTCCGCTGCAATTGCTGCACGCCAACATTGGCGTGTGCGACTGCCATCAACCCTCCGTCGCCAATGAGAGAGCCTTAACCATCTCTGACCTTCACGGGCGTAGGGCCGGGGGGGGGCGGGGGGGGCTTGGGGTGTTTAATCCCTATAGGATCCTACTTATTACTACTTATTATCCCAAAGCCTGTAACTTCGGGTACGAGACTCCCTTCCTTCTCTCTGTCCCCGATAGAAAACGGGATAAGACCGAACTTTAAGCCGGACAGGAGCCCGGCAGCTTCACAGGAGCCGGTCCTGGATGCGAGTGGGCCACATGCTCAGTTCCTTTCTCCATTCTGTTTGGGGGGGATGGGGGGAGGGAGAGAGAGAGAGAGGGAGAGAGAGTAGCCATCTTGGCTCTCCCGCGCCTTGAGCACCGCGACGCTGCCAGGAGAGGCTCGAGTACAGGAACCCCCCCTCCCCGGTGAGTGAGTCCAGTCGGCCCTCCGTCTTTCAGTGAGAGATCGCGCGCGTGGGAACGACCAGGATGGTATCCAAGATAGACAGAAAGAAAGAGTCAGGGTGATCACCCTGACCAATCGGTATTTGCACATATACATATATATATACACGCACAAAAGATATACATATATATATATATATCACATCTCATAGTACACATGTTAATACATCTATGTCTACATGCACAGATTGAGCCTCAGGTTGGCACGGACGACGGCGTTGCCGTGAGGCATCTGGGGCTGCACCACTCCCAAAGGTCCACTTACAGTACAAGTCAAACATATCATAATATATTCTCTACTAACTATTATATATATATACACATATATTATACTATATATATATATATATTGTCATATAAACCATATAATGCATATTATAGATTATATGTCATATGCTAGATGTTATATGACATGTACCATGCATTTTGGATTGCAGATTACATATTTCATGCTAGACATCATGCACAATTTATTTTGTGTCATCTGTATATTAGATATTGCAGGTCATAGATGATTATCTACTATGGGTTGTATAGTAAACCACTATATTTAAACATTGCACGTTCTGGTTTATAGGTTGTGCTTGCGACCCTATATGAGGTATATCGAACCTGAGATATATTACATCTTGTATTATATACATATAGCATCCGACAGTATCCGAGTATATCTTGTATGATATAGAGTACTATTCTGGAAGTGGACCCCGAGCAAACATGGCTTTTTGCACTTACTTCCATAATTAGTAGTCCTACAAGTGGAATATACATATATATATATACTAAAAGACATGTAAGATATTTGTACTATGAGTGGGCCCTTTGTGACTTCTGCGTCCGGAAGCTTGCATTGGCAGTTGGCTATAGGTGCCATCGAGTCACGTGCACTTTGACACAGCTTTGGGACTTGGATTTTCGCGCAGTGTTTAGGGCTCAGGGTTATAGGGCTTGGGGTTTAGGGAGCAGAACGGAGAGGGGCAGCGACGGTTGTCTAATGGTTAACTTTTCAAGTAGGGCAGGATCGTATATACCCCCAAAATGTTAAAGGTTACACCTACTCAGCCACTAAATATGTGTAGGAATGTGCTGACCTTGACGCTGCATACTCCTTCAGGACCCGCGGCCGAGACTAACCCCCCCAAAGACGCCGCCAGACCATCCATTAAAACACTCTCTCGGCAAGCTCGCTGCACAACCATCAATTTTCAACTTCAGTAATTCTTGGCCCGCGGTACTCAGCAACTATACGTCGGGACCGGGAGACCTGCGCAGGATCTTGCCCGAGCTGGAGGAATTCGAACCTCTCAGTGCCGCCGACCTCTCGCCCAAGGATCCATCTGGGCTCTGAGCTCAAACACAGCAAAAGATCCCCCGGGACCCTACTAATTCTAGGGGTCAAAAATAAGTACTCATAGCATTTCCTTAAATTTCCTTATGGTCCCCTGTATAATTATACTGTCATGACCCCTTAAACACCTATTCTACTTGGAGGTTCATGGTACTTATTGATAACTTCTAAGCCCCTTCAGTGCCCCAATATGGTTATAAGTACAGGTATAAGTACAGTTCGGTTTAATAAGTACCATGAACCTCCAAGTACCTATATTGCACCAGGCCCCCAGGTTTGTAGGCTAGCGGCTTGGCCGTGCAGATCGGTTACTAAGTTTATCACCATGTTCAACCCCCCAAATGGCCTTTTGTTGATGGATCTTGCAAGAGTAGGGCTTAGGGCTTAGGGCTTAGGGTTTAGGGTTTAGGGTTTAGGGTTTAGGGTTTAGGGTTTAGGGTTTAGGGTAGAAGCCCTAAGATGCCCTAAAACCCTATGAAAGTATCGATTCCCGCATGTGCAGAGGATGTGGGCGAGGAGCCCGTAAACGCCTCGGGGGCCGAGTGCACCGAAATCGTGCCCGAAGCACAACCAGGCGGGCTCTGCATGGGCCCCACCACCAGAACTTGCCTCGTCATTGTGACAGAACTTCTTCTCAGTTCTTGAGATCAGACCTTGCAGAACGGCACCGTCCAAGCTAGGCGTGTGGCAAACATAAGCATCCTGAACCCAAGTGTGCGAGAGCCGGAACCCTGAACTCCAGTGCTGCTGTAGAGGTAGCTGCAGAATTGTGTTAGCTGTGGGGGGCCCTCATGTATTTAAAGTTTCTATTGCTCGCGCGCAGAAAATGCGGCTTCAAGGTTTCAAGTCTTTGGGTTTTGTATCAATACAAAAAATATAAGTGTATATGATGTTCATCATGTTTTGGTTTTAGCAACATATATTATTATTGAAACATAGTTTCTGTTCGGGTTTGAACTTCCGAGCTCCATGTCAGGGGCCTTGAGAGGGCGGTGCTGTGCATGGGTGTGGTCCCCTTTTGGGGCCTATAGGGTCTAGGGTTTAGGGGGTTTAGGGGGTTTAGGGGGTTTAGGGGGTTTAGGGGGTTTAGGGGGTTAGGGGGTAAGGGGTTTAGGGTCTGTAGGAGACTGCGGCCCTGTACATTCAGGAGCCCAAGTCAGGTGGGGAATTGGGCAGCATGGTCTTTGAGTGAGGGTTTTAGGGTGTAGGGTTCAGGGTTTAGGGTTTAGGGTGGCCCTCAACCGCTAGACAATAGAAGATCTGAGACAGGGAGGCAGGGCGGTTGGCTTCAGTTGCCTTGCGGCTCTCTCTAACCTTTGACTCAGGGGATATGAAGGGGGCCTAATTCCCTAGGGTGTAGGGTCTAGGGTTAGAGTTTAGAGTTTAGGGTTTAAGGGCCTACCCGCCTGGGTTCAAAAAGGGTAGGCCCTTAATTGTTGCTGCAGCACCTGACTTCAGTGTTCAGGCTATCCCGCCCGGAAGGACGAGGGTGGTGATTTCATGGCGCTGACGAGACCGAAGGACGGTGAAGTTGGAGTGTCGGGCCAGGGTGCAAACGGGTTTAGGGTTTAGGGTTTAGACCCCGAAGTAGTCGCGGCTTTTAAGGTGTAAGTGCAGGGTTCACATAATACCTCCATGCAAATCAGACTCCGGACGGGGAGTTGGGCCCGAAATGACAAGTCTCAAAGAATGCACCGTTTTCAAGAACATTGTGGTGCCTATTTGCTTCAGAACCCCAAAATCCAAAATTAAAAACACAAAAAATCCCTAAATTACCCTTCTTGGCTAGAATAATTGTCATTCTTTTGGGGGGAATTCTTTAACTTAAGCAAGTCGTAGATTCCGAGCCCACTAGCGTTTGATACCAGAAGTCTCGGCGTATGGCTTGTACTCTACTCAGGGGGTCTACCGGTGGATGCGCTTCCCGGGCTTTCACTCCCCGTTCCCACTGGTCCGGCACACCCTAAACCCTAAACCCTAAACCCTAAACCCTAAACCCTAAACCCTAAACCCCAGGATGGTACAGATGGTCTGCTGCGAGGTCTCAAGACAGCGTCAGCCGCATGCCTGCAAAGTCTCTATACCTGCATTGGGTTTGAGTAAAGGAGGCAGAAGAACAATTCCAGTTCAACTGGAAAGTGTTGCGAAGGGGATATCCGAAGAGCATTTCCAGTTTAACTGGAAACTGTTACAAAGGGGATATCTTCCTTTTTGGCTTCTTATGCTCTTTACGGTCGGCATTCGGAGTTTGAATCGTAACGAGGGCTTGGAACAGGGTTCCCTGAGAAGAGTGGCAGCAGTATGATGTCTCAATGCCTTTTGCAGGAGGCTAGATGTGCCAGTTCGGGTTCTAACAGCATCGCCTGATGCACAGATTCATGGCTTGGAGAGTAGCTGGTTCTGCTGCATCAACACACGGGGCCTTAGGAGTTCAATCTTTAGTCGTGCCATACAGGTGCACCTTGCGCGACGAGCCCCAAGCACAGAAATCGCAGATTGAATGAGGGTTTAGGGTTTTAAGGTTTGGGGTTTAGTGTTTTAGGGTTTTCGGTTTAGGGTTCAGGTATCACCCTCTGAACCTCCACCCACAGTGTTGTTTCAAGGCGGGAGTGGCAGGAGGACTGGTGACTGCCGCCGCGCACTCATGGAAAGCTCCGCAGTTTTGCCTGGGTGGGGGAGGGTGGGAATTGGGTTGCCTGAAAAAGGGGTGCTGGGGGCTTGAAGGGCAATAAGTTGAATCTGTTGAAAAGTGCTGCAGAACACAGAGAGAGAGAGAGAGAGAGTCACCCCTATGCCCAGCAGAAGAAGAAGAGAGACAGAGAGAGCGAGAGAGAGAGAGAGAGAGAGACAGAGACAGACACGTGCAGACAGACACACGTAGACACACACACACACACAAACACACACACACACACACACCTCACATGCCTGGTGAGCCTAGGCCCTGGCCTTGCACCAGCCCCCCCCAAGCCTGCCAAGAACTAAGACCTATCTGTGGAGTTACCTATAGTCACCCATATACCCTTCAAATCAGGAAAATTACCCCGATGGTCCATGTTCCTTTTCGTTTCAGAGCCTCTGGCTGGCTCAAACCCTTCCGCCCCTTCCCCCCCAAACCCACAGAAATCCGTGAAATCCTGTAGCCTCCAAGTTCCCAGCCCCAAGAAGAGCCGTGTGCACTGTAAAGCGAAGGCAGACAGGGTTGTCGGGAGTATATTTCAAACCTCGACACGAAGCGGCTGGAGTTGCACTTACTTGGCAAATCTGCAACCTCCCCCTCCCCCCCTTCCCCCCCTCCCCAAATCCTAACCCCTTGGCCCAACAAGACCCTAATCCCCCAAGCATGAAGCCCTAGACCCGAGACCCTTGGCAAAAAAGAACCCCGAACCTATTAAGCCTGTAGAGAGCTTCCGAGGTCGCAGCTCCAGTACAGGGGGCGAGGCCTCTATTGTCCAGGATTTGACATTGAGACAAAATCATATGCTTTCATTGCGTTTCATATCACGTTATAAATTTAAAACTGGAATACTGATACATATGAATATAATCTAATAGCAGCATCTTATAACCATGTTGGATGAGGCTTTTGTGAGCGCAAGGGGTTTCAACTCAGGGGGTGATCTGTGGGTTGAGGCTTCGGCAAAGCGCTTTCATGGAGAGGAGCCGAGCATTTTTATCGTTATTTCTCTTGCTGGTAGCATTACTCTTGCTAATGTAGCTGCACCACTATAATTGTCGCAGTAGTATTATTCTTAGTAGTAGTAGTAGTAGTAGTAGTAGTAGTAGTAGTAGTAGTAGTAGTAGTAGTAGTAGTAGTAGTAGTAGTAGTAGTAGTAGAAGTAGTACTACTAGTAGTAGCAGCAGTAGTAGTAGTACTAGTAGTAGTAGTAGTAGTAGTAGTAGTAGTAGTAGTAGTAGTAGTAGTAGTAGTAGTAGTAGTAGTAGTAGTAGTAGAGTAGTTAGTAGTAGTAGTAGTAGTAGAGTAGTAGTAGTAGTAGTAGTAGTAGTAGTAGTAGTAGTAGTAGTAGTAGTAGTAGTAGTAGTAGTAGTAGTAGTAGTAGTAGTAGTAGTAGTAGTAGTAGTAGTAGTAGTAGTAGTAGTAGTAGTAGTAGTAGTAGTAGTAGTAGTAGTAGTAGTAGTAGTAGTAGTAGTAGCAGTAGCAGCAGCAGTAGCAGAAGCACCTCAGCCCTGAACAACTCGGGACCCCCTCAGGGCTAGCAGCGCACTGGGTTACAAAAAAAGGCTGTAGCACAGCACCCAACTTGCAGGGCTGGTGGCGCGACGGGCTTCCTCAAAGGGCTGGGCAGGGAGCTCGGACACGTGGTCATGTTTCCTTAGTTGCGGCTCCTTATGCATCATTGTCTTGTTGTGTTTCTCAATTATAGAAAGCCCCCAAAGCAAACAATAAGCAGATGTTTTTAGTATGGTTCTAAGAGGAGTATGGTTGTAGGGTCTGAGGTATCGGTGTCCGGAGCTTAGAACATTAGATTTCAAGTACATTTGCACACAATATGCATGTTACACACATATACACATATGTATATGCATACCTTTGCAGTGCAGTAGTTCGCATGCCCGGTGGTGCGGTTGCATGCAGCAGGAGCACAACTGGACCACCTCACATATAATTACGGGAGGTGCGCAAGGCTAAGATGGGCTCCATGAAGACGTTCAGCTCAGTGCAGGTGATATAGCATGGAACTATGAAAACGATCTTTCAGGCCGAGGGAGGTGTCATGCACAAAAAACATGGATTGGTTGCGTGACAGTTTTGGTGCTCATACTACCGGCCACGAGATCTCAACCCCAGATTCCCAAAGGCGCCGGAGTTATTGGTGGTGCGGCCATGGTCGTCGGCGGAGTTGGCTGTGGAGTGGCGCAGGCAGTCCAATGGACGGTTTGAGATTTAAGGGCCGGTGGCGATTAAGATTGAACTTCGAGCATCCACGGTTTAGGGTTTAGGGTTTAGGGTTTAGGGTTTGGGGTGCTCCAGTCTTTTCAGTCAGAGATTTGGGGGCGCATGGCTTGATTGCAATTTCAAGTTCTGAGCTGTGCTTGGTTGGCAGAAGGTCTAGCTGCTGATGCAAAAGGCCTTCAAGCTCCCTTGGGCCAGTTAGGGTTTAGGGTTTAGGGTCTAGGGTCTAGGGTCTAGGGTTTAGGGTTTAGGGTTTAGGACTTTGGCGACCTCATGAACCAAACACTTCATGCAAGCCTTGGGCACTGCATTGCGACCGCTGTTGCGCAGAACCCCTCATTCCCCCTCCAAAAGTCTAGGTTTTTGTGGGGTAGTAGCATATGTGGGTGGGGTGTATAAATCTCTGATTTCTGTTCAAGTTCAACCCTGACTAAGAACCCTTACGAAACCCTTCCAAACCCACTTGAGAACCCTGTCCAATGTTTTTCCTCTGTCCCTTCAGATGCTCCTTGCTTACTCCTGCACCTCGGCCAAAGAGGCGATAAAACGGCAAGAGACTAGACCCTAGACCCTGAACCCTAAACCCTAAACCCCCAAGCTCTTGGGAGCCCCACTGCAAGCAAGGGTCTGGAGGGTGGTCTTCCCCAAGTTGCCCCCGGAACCTACGAATTGCCCAAAAACTAGAAAAATAGCAATCCCTATATTATCCTTATACGGACGAATGTTGTTAAGATAATCCCTATATTACCCTTATAAGGAAGAATATTGTCATCATAATCCCTATATTCCCCTTAATGTTGCACCCGCAATATTCTAGGGGGGACGCTATTATGAAAAGTTTTCCGGCTATTCAGGATCTGGACCCTTTGTTTTGGGGGTCCGCTATAATGAAAAGATTTCGGGCCGGGCCTGTTTTTTAAAATGGTTTTTGAGTCAAGTTCCCAGATCCCAAACTAAGAAGAGAGCTCATTTCTCTGCCCCCCCCCCCACCCCCCCCGACTGTTTGGGGTCTTTTTTTATTCAGGGTCGCGACTGTTGAGGGGGGGGGGGGTTACATTATTAAAGCAGGTCCAACATTATAAGGAAGAATATGTTTAATTTGTCTGGGGGTGCTTAAGCAAGTCGTAGGAACCACGCAGAGGTGGGCCGCGGCCTGATGCAGGTCCCCAAAGCCGCGCGGGCGCGGCGCTGGAGAGCCCAGTTGCAGGGTTTAGGGTTCAGGGTTTAGGGTTTAGGGTTTGGGATTTAGGGTTTAGGCGTCGGGAAAAGATGTACGTAGATGACAGATTTAGGGTTTAGGGTGTATAGGGTTGGCCCGCTAAAGTATGGACGTGTCTGTATATTCGCCCTGAACCCTACACCCTAAACCTAAAAAAATGAGAGGCCTCCCAAAAGAGCCTGTTCATAAGGATACTTGGAGGTTCAAGGGTACTTCTAAGTAGGGACATATAAGTAATTCGTTTTGTGTAGAACTATTTAAAGTTCTTCTAGCCATATTCACAAGTCCCCTTGAACCTCCAAGTACAAAAAGGTCAGCCCTAAACCCTAAACCCTAAACCTACCAAAATGCTGGGGTGCAAACAAATCCTACAAAAATGAGAGCCCCCCCCCCCCCCCCCCCGGAGCGGAGCGAGCTTGTTCACAAGCATACCCTCAACCCTAAATCCCAAACCCTAAACCCTAAAACCTGAACCCTAAACCCTGATCCTAAACCCGAAACCCTAAATCCCAAACCCTGAACCCCAAAATGGCGAGTCTTCAGGCGAAGAGAAGGTTTGGGATCAAGAGCTCGGATGTTGGGTGCGGGCCTCGGGCGGAGCGGGAAGAAGCGGACAAGAGTCGAGGAAGTCTATAGAAGGAGTAGAGGGATATAGATATACATGTATGTATATGTATATGTATATGTATATTTGCAAAATATGCATATATATATATATATGTGTATGTATATGATCCCCGTTCTCAGTTCGTCAGCCCCCCCAGGAAGGGGGACCCTAAAAACCCTAAACCTTAAACCCTAAACTCTAAACCCTAAAACCCTAAACCCTGAAACCAACCCACAGCCACACCACACAGAGGGGGGGGGGGGGGGGGCCCGCACCTTGATCACACATCTGTATATATATATATATATATATATATGTACGTATGTGTACATATACATATACATATACGTATACATATCTGTATGGGGTTGACGATTTGGGGTTTTGGGTTTAGGGCTTAGCACTGGAGATTGTGCCAGCTTCAGTCCTGGTTGGAAAAACAGGGTTTAGCAAAAAGAGTTTGGATGAGAGGCATATGGGGCATTGAGGGCTAAGGGCGCCTTACCCGATGTATTGTTGCGGGGTTCATCAGGCAATTAGGACAGCGCTTGGCTGAAAATGAGGTGGACGTTGATCTTTGTGCGCTGGAGCGGCAAGTGGCAGAGGCGGTGTTTGCCCAGCATGGGCGTCGGGTAGGCAGGTAGATAGCAGGAGGCTTACTTCTTGTGAAGCAAGAGTTGCCAGTGGGGTCAAGGCCTCATGTGGACCATACTAGGATGCCCAGTAGTGCCCTTATTCCCTTTTAGGGGGCTCTAGGTTCCCCAAAAAACCCCTTCAAGCAAAAAAGGGCACCCTTTTTAATCCTAGGTTACTGGGCAACCTAGCGTATGTGGGCGCATGCATGTACCTCCCTGGGTTCGTTTGAAGGATTTGGGGGACTCGAAGTT